TCCCTGCCCTGAGCCCCCTGCCGCATCCCACACCCCTCCTGCACTCCCTGCCCTGAGCCCCCGCCCCACCCTGCACCCTTTCTGAACCCCCTGGGGGCAGCGTTGGGGTGGGGACTTCGGGGAAGGGGTTGGAATGGGGCAGGGAAGGGGTGGGAAGAGGTGGGGCAGGGCCTAATGGAAAGGGTGGCGTGGGTGCGGGGCCAAAGGCAGAGAGTGGGGGTGTCAGTGATGCGGCCCTCGGTTCAATGCACTAGTCCTCATGTGGCCCTCATGGTCATTTGAGTTTGAGACCCCTGCCTTAAAAAGATATTTTAACAGGACTAAGCACTTCATTTTCTTCTTTCTGTCCACTACCTTCTTAATTTGTAAGCACATACATGCCTAATTATTATTAGTACTGCAGTAGTGCCTACATGCCCCCACCCCCACGGTGTGTGTGTACATACAAAAGGCCAACTCCTCCTTGTAAGATAGTTTGGCTAGGTCTGGGAAAGAGAAGGGTTTAATGCAAAAATGCACTAATTCCAGTGGAGAAACAGTGGAAGAGGTTCATTTTCTTATCACACCTAGGTTATAGTAGAATTTTTGACTGGTCATCTTGGTGTTGGCGATTAATGACATTTTGCTAACTGCTGCAAATCTCTTCCCAATGGGTGTTGGGGGCACATCCATCAAACCTTCCAAATGAGCCATTGCAGCCATTCCCCAGAGTCCCACTTGTTTTTCTGTTCAGTGACACTGGTGACTATTTCGCAGCTTGATGCAGACTGTTTAGTCAAAGTGGTGCCACTTTACTTGGGACTCTCGCCCCTTTGGGTTTTGGTTAATTGAAACAAAATGTAGCAATTCAAGTCCATTGGACATTTCACAGTGAACTCAAAGTTGGCTCACATTTCTGGGAGCTTTCCAGAGCTCAGACAGGAAGTGAGTCATGCCCAGAGGTAAAGCACACATGAAAAAGAGAGATTACAGTATAACACTGTGTCTCAAATGTTTTTAAAATTGAGACATGCAATTTAAAGCTGACCCTTCCGTCTCCCAGCAAGACCATCCCTTACAGAATAAGTCACATCTCTTGGCAACATTGAGGTTATTAGAATTCACTGCTCTTGGGCAGAATATGTTGTGTATGAGTGAAATCTAACTTTCCTCCAACATCATACATCTCCTCCAACTCTCTTCCACCAGCTTATTTATTTTGAAACACCATGGAGAAAAAAAATCCCTCTACATATAATACCCCATTTGCCTGCCTTTGAGTAAACTGTGTGCTATGTCCCCCTCTACAGGTCCGGAGCAAGGCATATCCTGCAGAATAACTACTCTGTGCATGATTGAAGCTCCCATTTTACCAAAGGTTTTGCATGTGCCCCAAGATTTTACAATATTGGGGGTTAACTTGTACCTGTTTGTTTGTTCTAGAGAGACAGAGTAACAAGAGTCATCTTGGTTTCTAGAAATCTAGCTAACATGCAGCCCCCATCGTCATTCACGAGAACGGCTTCACCAGCAGAGAATGTGAAGCAATCATCTTTCCCAGCTTCTAGATATTCAGCATTGGATTATACCAGTTGATTGGCGTTTTCTACCTCTCTCCCCGTAAACTCACACAGATCATTGCAGCCACAAATAGGGCAGCTATTATAAATAGCTCTCTAACAGCACACAATAACACTGTGCGACAGCTTCAGACAGGGTGTGATGAATAGTTCTAGTACTCACTGTGTTTGAGGCAATTAATATAAAATTCATAGTCAAAAAAATCTCAGTAAAAGATTATGTGGGATTTTAAATACCATCTGTCCCAATGCCAAAATAGCTTTGTTGTCGATACTCTGGGGGTCAGAATACTTCTCTACAGTGAGCACAAACTCAAACCTGTAGTAGACAACCCACTTGGCAAAGACATCTTTGCAGATACACAAAATAAATCAACGGGCACTTCTTATCCAAAGACTTCAAAGTGTTTTTACACAGGTGAGGAAGTAGCATTATCCTCATTTCACAAGGGGGAACTTTTACAAGGAAGAGAGATTAAGTGGTTTGCCCTAGATCATCCAGCAAGTTAGTGGCAGACCCAGGAATCTACCCAGACTCCAGTCTTGTGCCCTCTCCACTTGAGTGCCAAGGATTATTTTATGTTAATTTCCTCTATGTTACTGTAGAATACATGTGACAGAACATATTGGTGGCTGGAAAGCTGTGCTCAGGACCCAGCAGCACCATAGGGCTAAGGTAAAGAAGCATAAACTAAAATGATACCTCGTGTCTGTCCGGCAGACGTGAGTCACTTTGGATTTCTGGGAGCCAACTGGTTCTATGAGATACTGACACAAAAGGACATGGGCCAAAATCCCATGCAGAGTAGCTCCTTCACTGTCAACTGAGGTAGCTGCCAAAATACAGGTGCCACTTTGGGGATCAGTCCTCCAAGTCCTAGAACAAAGAAGGGCATTTTTAGGATGTTTCACACAGATGTTTTTACATGGCTGGACAATCTGATGTTCTGCCTGTGGCATAAAGCAATATTCTGATGGGCAGAGACCAAATCAGTTAATGCATGACATGAATAAAAATCTTTTCCATGCCTCAATCCATATGGAGGAAGCTTACAAATCCTGCCATAAACGACCTATTATTTGTGTTGCACTAGCACCTACAGGTCATGGATGAGGGTTCCTTTGTCCTAGGCACTGTTCAAATGCATAATAAAGACAGCCCCTGCCTGGAACAGTTTACAATCCATATAGAAGAGACATATGGAGGAGCTAACTAAGCCCTTGTCTACACTACACACTTATGTCAGTATAACTACATTGCTCAGTTTGGAAAATCCACACCTCTGAGCTACATAGTTATAACTGGCCTAACCCACTGTATAGACAGCGCTATGTTGATGGGAGGGTTCCTGTCAACATAACTACCGCCTCTCTGGGAGGTGGATTACGTATGCCGACAGGAAAAGCGTAGGCAGCATCTTCACTAAGTGCTACAGCTGCACTGGGGCTACGCTGTAAGTGTAGACAAGCACTAAGGGTCCCAATGCTGCAACCAGATTCCTGCCCCCACAAGACACCACATTGCACATGAGCACAACGATCTGCTCAAGTGGATCCAGGGGCCTAAATCACCTGAGCAGATCTGGGAAAACCCCCAAATCAATCAATCAATCCACCCACCTATACCTTCTTAGGAAGAAAGGGTGATAGAACAGGATCTATTCATTGTCATACTGGGCTACAATTTACATTTTTCCCAGATGCAAACCGAGGATTCTCGCACTGGGGAATAATAGAGCTACAACAACAAATGTTTGCAGTTGTGCTGTAATTTTTAGAAGAAAGGAGGCAGGAATGTGGCAACAATTTCTGAATCTCATCAATGTAAGCCTCCTACCGAGTCTGTAAGCCCTTTGGGGAAGACTGTTATTGTTACATGTGGCACATTGCCTGGCAAATGGGGCTGAGGGTTCTAGGCATTACCGCAATACACACTGTGTCACAGTAATGGACAATCAGATCGGAGGTTAGTTACAGAGTAGGGATCCGGACATAGGGAACTGCACCCCTTTTTGATTGACATGGAACTGGAACAACCCAGCATGAAATGCTGGGAAGCAACACGCACCACAGTTGGGCTATAAATTGTGTTTGGGAAACCAATGAGAAAAGTCACAGCAGTTCCTTACCTCAAAACCACATAATCCCGCGGCAGGAGGGGTGACATGCTTTCTGTTGTATAGTGATAAACATCTGTTTCATCATCCCAGGTCTCTAGGATTTTAGCCTGCTGCAGACTTGGGTCCCACAGATGCTGCTCTGTCAGTATGCGTTGAAGGATTACTTTAGGAGCGGCACTGATTTCAGTGGATGCCTTCCATAACCGGACGTGGTAATTATCTTCCACCTTAGAAGACAGTTAATGGACACTAGTAGTCTACTAGGAGTAGATTTAGTGATTCGTTCCCCCTTCCACCACTCCCTCCCACCAGCAGAAACCTAGACAGCCTTTCACCAAGGTGTGTGTTACAGAAGAATGGTTCTAGGAGCCTAAGTGGAGTAAAGGGGGCTTTATAATATGAATAAACTGCCCAGTCAGCATGGATCATGAATACTCATGTTTCTGGTATCTACAATGAAGGCCCTCTCTTGACTTCTTCCTACAAGATAGAGATCTTGCCCCGATAATGGGGTGCTGTAGATGAGGGTGTGCAAGTCACAAATGGATAGCTCAACTTTGAATTAATGCTAGACATAGACTACAAATAAAAAGGCACCAGGGAGTTGCCGCTAGCTCAAAAGGGCTCTGGAGCAGTTGCTGAATTGACATTAGGCAGAAACACAGCTAGTTTCAGCGCAGCCGCAAGCTCAGAAAGGTGCGTGATTATTAACTGCCATCTTTGCTAACACCCCAGCATCAGATTTACCTTTTTATTTGCCAATTCCACACGTTCCAAGTTTGAAGCAGTAACCCAGCTCTTGAACTTTTCCTTGGCATCTCGCAGCAAGTCCTGCATGGAGTTCTCAAGGGAAACCAGCATGGAGTGCCTCATTGAGGCGGTCTGATTAGAAGCCTTTTCACTCAGGCCATTCTGTTCACATAAGTCATCACAACACTGATCCAGGCAATAGTCAGGCATCTGCAATGGGAGGGGATGTTGGATTCTAAGCACAGTCCCATCACATTTATTCTTACACTGGGAGAAAATCTACTAGGATAATGATCCTTAAGTGAATGTGAACTCACTATTGGAGAGTCTTCATGTAAAAGTTACAAGCGCAAAAGCAAGTGCCAATGAATATTCTAAACCGTTCTTTGAAAGAGCTGGACTTGCTAATGCGGCGAGACTGTGAATGATCGATCAGCAATCAGGAGCAGCCCAACACGTTTTATAGCACTAGATGTGAAAATAAAAACCACTGCCCTGAGAAATGGGAAAGCTAGTTTAAGGAATGACATCCTCTCTCAGCAGCTAGAGCACTGTAGTGGGATTCCTACATTGAACTCCTGGCTCTTCCACCACTTCAATGTGCAATGTGGGGCTAGTCGCTTCACACCCGTCTGCACAACTGGAAAATTTACTTACCTAATTGGAGTGTTGAGGCTTTAACTATAATGTCTTATGCCAGGAAATCAAATGACTAAGTCCCATTAAAAGTGTATTCTGCCTATAAATGTGTTTGAAAACTAAACTCATTAAACCAACACCTCTAGGTAGATTTTATATTAATTCTGCAGAGACAGCAACTGAGGTAAAGGCACATGACTTGCTCTTCCTTGGGTTTGGCTATCTAGATCAATTTCATATGAAAGCCACAGCCTCAGATGTTCCAGGTAGTGAGGTTACAGCACTTTCTGGCTCATACCGAGAGATAGAGTAAGGTTCAGACAGGAATTTCCATTTCTCAGCAGCAGTTCCTGGCTTATGGACAAGGTAGAGATGACTGATCAGAGACGAGATACACTATCTCCTTTGCATGTACACGACTTGCCTGACCTTACAGAGCGTGCCTGGGAAGCTGCTTACATCTTTTATTCTATGCTGGCCCAGGCTGTGGAGCCAGCCATCATGCGGATTATTGTGGGGGCCATTGGCTGCATAGGAAGGAGGTCAGGCCTGCCTACTAGGGAGAGTATACACCCCAAAGTCTCATTAAAAAGCCCAGCCAACTCCTTCACCATGATAGACAGACTTAATGGGCTGAGAATACTTCTCTGATAAGGGAGCTTTCCCCCAGTGAGAGAGTCTTGCCAGTCTGGGAGAAGCTGTGATAACATATGGTTAATGGAAGAGTGCAGAGGGTTGTGGGTATGCTTGCAGAGGAAGAACAGAGGTCTTCTCCAGAGCAAACAACACATGACACTTCATTAGTGCCCTGATCTAGCACCTTCCATCTGAGTCTCCCAAGCTGCTTTGCAAATAATGACCAAGTCTCTCAGCAAGGGAGCTATTATCCCCACCTTACAGACACAATGATTATAGGCTCCTCAGTGGTAGTGACACCACTCCAAACCTGTCACAGGCACATCCTGCACCAGTGCAAAAAAGGGGCTTGCTTGAGTGGGGCTTATCAGGATAAGGCCCATTTGACACTGGCAGAGTGCATCTACATTGAGGGTTTGCATCTGTAGCTACCCCAACCCAGGCCTACGCGACTTCTATGTGACACAGCCAGTGGCAAAGCTGGGAACAAAACCCTGAACTTTCACTAGTCCCTTCGTTTATATATGTTATGCACCAGAGCCTGTTGCAGGTGGTGATGGCTCTTCTTTTCCACCCCGTTCTTTGCAGCTTCTTCCCCCGCCCCGCACAAATCCCTTTTCTATTCCCCCTCCCCACGCTGCACCATTTCTTTCTGTGCTCACTCTTCAAATACAGGCCATCGCTGAACGTGCCTAAGCCAAGGGAGGAGGCTGGAGGGATTGGAACATCCCACCCTCCTTGCCAGTGAAGGTATTTTGGAAAGCTCCTCTGGCCCTCCATGAAGCTGAAGTTTTTCCAAGGGGCCATTTCAGCACCAAGGTGGAAGGGACAGCCTGGCACCAATTAACAGACATATGAATGCTGCCCAGGGGAGAGGCAGAAGTGCCTGGATGCCAGACTGATTCTTGATCCTTATCCAGGTCTTGCCTCAACAGCATAACTGCAGACTCCCACGTGCAGGCCAGTTAGCCTGCTGGAGGGAGCTAACCAGCTGTCAGCGAGGCTGCTGTGCAGTACTGACAGCAATCTTCACAGGAAGAGGAAAAATGAGGGAGGAGAGGATGCAATTAGCTGCCTTCCCCCAGGGCTCCCAGCGAGGGGAAACACGCACATTTCCCCTCGTGAAAGATGTTTTAAATCACTCTGAGATGGCGAGCTCCCTTTGTTACACGCTTATCATTAGAGCCCTGCATCCCACATATAGAAGGGGCTGGCCACTGCCTACACGTAGGCTACAATCAGCTCAGGGTTGTAGAGATGCCCTACCCGAGTCAGTCAAATGCTGGATATAGAGGATTCCTGGAGGCATACGCCTGTGGGGAAAGCGTTGCCAAGTTATTTCTATCTCTAACTGGTAATACATTTAGAAATGCTGTCCTAAGCCAAGCCAGCTGGAAAAAACAACTGCACAGAAATGGGACATTTTAAATAAACTCAGAGTTGGGTCTTAAAAAGAATCCTGATTCTGAGTTCTCAATACAGTGGGGCTAAACCAAAACCCCACCTCAACCTCTGTGGCTCGGGCCCACCTCCCAAGCACACAGAGATATCCAGAGCCTCAGAGGACTGTGTTTATCACAGGAAGAAGGAAATGGATGGCAAAATGTGATCCTGCTAAGTACTGTACAGCAGATACGATGACCTCTGCAACAGAATTCTCCCTGTATTCAGGTCAGTAGGACGCAGATACCACACTAAAGCATTAGGAATTGCAAGCAGAGGAAAGAGCAACAGGATAGTGAATCATAACTTAGCTCAGGGAAACTATCATCCTCAGTAAAAACAAATCTTCAGGGTTTGCTTCAGGGGTTGTTTGGATTATTTTAAAACTGTATTCAAGCAACAACAGGAGGACATTTACTCTTGCCAATAGGCAGCAAAGAACTTGCAGGCATGTCCAGTTTAAGTTTCAGGGCTGGAGCATCCTACTGGCATATTCACTTTTCTAATGAGCATGGTGGACACTTTCCGTAATGTTGTAACATAGGGGGTGTTATAGGAAGTGACATACCTGGAAGAGTCTGTTGCACTCCATGATCATGTGGGCCAGGCCTTGGGTGGCTGCCAGATTTTCGTTCAAATCTCTCTGGTCTGGTTTTCCCAGGCTGTACTTCCTCTGGCTGGACCTAGAGAGAGGGTTAACAAGGATTTTTTCAAAGGCACAGCAGAGTAAATCAAAAAAGTAAGAGGTGAAACATCAGCAGCAGCAGCCGCCTGGAAGCTCTAGGGAATTTTCTCATTTACTCTGGTGTCTGAATTTCTGTGTTACAGTGAGTTCTGTACACAAACAGCTTCACTAGACAAAGTCTTCTGTCATCACTTTCACATGGACAACATTGTGAAAGCCACAGTCATTGTGAATAGTAAGCGGAATAAAAATGTTTCAGAGTGGTAGCCATGTTAGTCTGTATCAGCAAAAATAATGAGGAGTCCTTGTGGCACCTTAGAGACTAAAATTTATTTGGGCATAAGCTTTCGTGGGCTAGAGCCCACTTCATCAGATGCATGAAGTGAAAAATATAGGAGCAGGTATAAATACATGAAAGGATGGGGGTCAGTCTAACGAGATAAATCAATGGGTATCCTGCTGTTAATTGATTTATCTCGTTAGACTGACCTCACACTTGGTAAAGCACCCCCATCCTTTCATGTATTTATACCTGCTCCTATATTTTTCACTTCATACATCTGATGAAGTGGACTCTAGCCCAGGAAAGCTTATGCCCAAATAAATTTGTTAGTCTCTAAGGTGCCACAAGGGCTCCTCATTGTTTTTGCATAGAAATGGTAGCCTTGAACCAAACTGCTGAGATACCAAGGATCACTAGTGCTACTGAGGCGTACCAAAATTTTGCAAGTAATATGGTCTTTTACTGAACAGCAATGAGATAGGATTAGCCAAAGAAATTAATGAGCTCTCATTGATGTGCTCAGCATTGAGTTAAGTGTTTAGTTACATCAACAACCTATGTAGACTGTCTAAAGACTTTTTATAAAATCATCACAATCCACAAAAAAGTGCTGTCATATTGCTATGTTTTGCTAACTCGTGTTATCAGCATTTTAGGTCTTTCCAGACATAATCTTTATATGACACTAGAAACACTCACTCACAATAGCTTTATCTTGGAACATTCCTACTGAACAACTTTAAAAAGTGCAAGCAATAAGGACCCTTGATTATTCCTTAGAGCCAAGCCTTTTAGAGTATGTCCCTTTGAAGTCTGAATCGTAAGGTAAAATATTAACAACTAATTATTTGAACTTACGGTTCAAAGCACCCTTGATTTTAGGCTCCTTGCTGTTGCAATATAGAGTTAAAAGTCAATCCAAATGGTACAAACCACTAAACTAGGAGTCTCAATCTCCCAAACATTACAGATTGCTTAATTCTGGTCAGGATTTGCAACTGAAAAGCTATCAATCACTCTGCCACATTCCTGGCTCCACTCAAGTCTTCTCTCACTATGATCAGCAGTGCGGTCATTGTTTCAGCTTCAGTGTTAGTTCTTCCCAGCAAGAGCTGAGCATCACAGGACTTGTTTTATAGGTAGATATGCATTTCGAGATGCTCTGCGCTTCTTAAAAGCAAATTCTTTACATTTTTCCATCTCTATTTACTTTTCTCAGAGAGTGTCATTAAATCTGAAATGCACAAATACCACGCATGTGACATGCTTCCTCACCTAAATGGAATGTAATATCCTTATCATTAGATTGCATAAGATGAAGAAGCATCTGCTTTGACAAGGGCATGATGTTTTTGTCAAAAGAAAACAGTTCTTTCCTGCCTCAAAACAAGTTTATCCACAAGCACAGCCATACTGTATAGAAAACAAACAAGACCTTGCATTGAGGCTAGACTAGATCCTGAATGAGCATTCTCAGAGGTTACTGTACTGATTCTACCTAGAAGCAGGGCCGGCTCCAGGCACCAGCTAAAGAAGCAGGTGCTTGGGGCGGCCAATACCAAGGGGCGGCACTCCGACTGCTATTGGGGCGGCACGTCCGGGTCTTCGCAGTTCGGGAGCGGGTCCCTCACTCCCTCTCGGAGTGAAGGACCTGCCACCGAATTGCCGCCGAAGAGTGGAGTGGCACGGCGCGATCGCACTGCCGCAGCTTTTTTTTTTTTGGCCACCTGGGGCAGCAGAAAACCTGGAGCCAGCCCTGCCTAGAAGGTCCTTCATCACTGCGTGAACTGCCGATAAAGGTTACACAATTAGGATATTGTTGCTTATTAAAATTAAAATCACCTAGTCCCCCGGCATCCTTATCACCAAAAAGAATTAGTACCTGAGCTGGACACTAGCTGCAGGAGCTTGAATCTGCAGCTGGGTTTTTACATGTAAATACTAACAGGAGTTTGGAAGCCCACTTAAATAAGTGCTTTCTACCTACCCATTTCTCTGGAATACAGCCATCTCTATTGCATGTTCTCTGAGTGCAAGCAGAATTATAAAAAGCAAACTTTATCAGGGAGACTATTCTGACTCCCTCTTCATAAGGCACACACCGAATGGGTTTTTTGCTGTCTCTTTTGGCATAGATATTGGGAGAAACCTAATCTGAGTTTTTTGTAGTGGAATCAGGCTAAGCTAATGCAAATGATACGTCTTGCCACCTTCAGAATCTTATGCCAGGCCCATGTTAACAAATACTGTGCATCCACAAAGAGTAGAGCTCTCTTAGTGTATGATGCTTGGGTGGGGGGTGGATTCCTGAGATAACTGGGGCCCAGACTACTTAGGGCTTTGAAGAACGGGGCCTTAAAATTGATCTCGTATTTGACAGGGAGCCAGAAGAGCTGGAGCGTGACGTAGTCTCATCTCCCCTAAGGACTGAGCTGTCACATATGGGACAAATCTGGAGCACTTCCAGATTTTTGAACTGGCAAGGTACATTTTGGCTCATTTTATTTATGCAGTCAACATGGCAGAGAAACTCTTATTTAACAGTTCAGCTGTTACGACAATGATACCTAGATGATGATGAACTCTCTCTCCTTAAAGTATTGAGATGAAACAAGGATGGCGCGAGACAGACTGCAATGTTGGTCGGAGTCATCTGGTTTTCCTCAACAAAAGCAACTACATCTCGGAGAAAGAAGAGAAGAATTTTCAGAGCTTCCCGATTTTCGTCTGGGAGCAGAAGAATGGCAGCCTGGACTGCATGAAACTGTTGATCCTTTGGCAAATCTGAAGATAGAAGAATTAGGAAACTCATGAGAGGGTTTGATAAGATAAAACATTAAATAAAAGAATGAACAGACTATCCCCTAAATAGGGCATCAACTCCATACATCAGTTCTCCCGTTACTCAGGATCACGGGACAGTCCTCAGAGATGGCAAAGAGCTAAAAGGCCACCATTCCAGGTGTCGAGACACCTATTTGCACCAGTTTAGTAAAGCCAGTTAAATTAAGCCTCCACAAGAGGTTTACATAGTGGCTTATTTCAGCTGGTCTTACAGCTCTTCCTGATAGACTTAAAAAACTGAAATAAGGCTGTTTAAAATCCAGATAAGGGCTTGTCTACACCTGGAGTTATTCAGGAGTAACTGTCTTTGAGTAACCCCCTGTTCAGCCATACTTACTCCAGAAGCAGAGTGCACGCCAGGGTAGGCTAAACAGGAACAGCTGTTTACTTTAAAAATAGCTTTTTTTTATTTAAAATCTTTGTTTGTTTTCAATTTAAAAACAAACAAACACTTTACCCAGAGATTTGGGATATTATTCCATATTCTACAGACAGGAAATAACAAGCAACTAGGACTCCTATAGTCAAGGCGCTGCCTCGAGGCAGCAAGACGCATGTTCCTCATGTCAAAGTAAAGTCAAAGCAATACAACAAAATTCAAGATTTAATCTTTTTAGAAAGCTTGGGCTTATTTAAAGTTTAAATGCCTTTTCCAGGTTACAGAAAAGATTGTCATTAAAAAACCTTGAGGTACCATCACCACAAGTTCTTGCTGCATCTCAAAAATGAATTCGGTTAAAACAAACTACTGGAGACACAACTAATTCAAAGCAATTGCAAATGACGTAGTTTGCCTTATGGTCTATTCTTCTTTCAGACAATGTAGACAGAACAACTAGAAATCAGCTGGTATTTCCAGTGAAAATGCCATAGCAAGACTGCTGTTCCTGTGGTAAGAAGTACCTGATCTCAAGGTGCAGTCTTATTGAAATGAACAAGACTAGTCAGGTGCTCCTCAGTGAGAATAACAGATTATGCCCTAATTTAATACACAGAAACAACCATTTAAAAATCAAGTCAGAACACCAACCACAGAGTATTGTTAAAGGGAATGTGTGTGTGTGTGTGTGTGTGTGTGTGTGTGTGTGTGTGTGTGTGTGTGTGTGTGTGTGTGTGTGTGTGTAGAGAGAGAAGAAGAAACGAGAA